GGTGGTGGTGGTGGTGGTGGTCAATTACTTCTGCTGCTGCTGTTGGTTCTACGGCTCTTGCTTTCTTGACTTTGCTGCTTTTTGCCGGCTGCAAGGAGTGGCGCTTCTCCGAGTGGCGGCAGAAGGTTTGACCAAAAAGCATTGGCCGCCATGCTTGTGTGGACTTGCAGCGCATTTGGAGGGAGCCATCGATCCAGTTTAGGCAAAGGTTTTTGCTTTCTTGCAGAGCAAGTGCATGTAATTAGTGCCTGAGGTCTGGACAGTGGTGGAACTCCTTCATCGATCGAGGTTAAGCAGATAACCCTGCACAGGTGCCCCGGCCCGTCGTTTGCCTACCACCTTTATCTATGCCTCCTACTGCTCGAAACTGATGTCTACAGTGTTCAAATTAAGTTCCATTGTACCCCCCTATAACATCGACTTGATGAAAGGAATCCCCACAAGGGACTTCAAAAAATCCTGGGCAGGGCTTGAGTGCGCTGCTTTTCTGGACCTATAGTGTCAGCTCAAAACAGGGCACACTGGAACACCGCAGGGTAAGCTCGCATCGAAACTTTGTGCTTCTTTAGGCTTTCTCATCCGACACCAGCTACCATAGGCTATTTGCACATTCCAGTTTCAGGCGTATCCTCACATATTCTTCAGCTATTGTCTTCTGGCAAGTTCATGCGCGCTTGTGCCAGGCTGGCGAGTGAACCTGCCCAAGTTGCCTTATTCTTTGCACCTACCCGTAGCATTCCAGGGGTAGCCTAGAGTCCAAAGCTGTGGTTGAAGTGCTTGGTTTGCAGCGCGTGAGACACCTACTAGACCTGGCTTGCTTCAGGGAGCTCACTGCATGAGAAACCCCTGGACTCCAGGGTGTAGGCTGTAGGTCGAACTGCTCTTGTCACTTGGGAGCGGTTCCGGATTTATTCGAGCGGAGTTTAGCGCTCGACAACTCCAAGTGGCGAGTCGAGTTCCCACACGCAGTTGTGTGATATCACGCGTTCCTAATATTTCCTGATTGACTGAGCCGCCTACAGGCTTGCAGCAGCGCTCTCCTTGCGTGGGATGGATCGCCCTAGTTCAAAATGCGCTCACATAGATACCCAGGAAGACTGGGCCAAGCTCGTCTTCATCTTTTGGAGGAAGGGCTTGAGATCCGAGAAAAGCTTAGACGTAGATTGTTGAACGTTGAAAAAGGCGTGGTCAGTTTGGTTGTGCCAAGTTCAATCCCTTTCTCTCTGGCCCACGTCGCACCAGCGATCCGACACATTTTCGCTGACGATTAGTTGCCAAAGAGTTTTAGGCGCCTGAACGTGTGCTGAGATGTGCTGAGTGTCGTTCTTGCTCTGCCCGGATTGCGGCTGCTGGAATGCCACAGGTGTCGGTTAATTGCCGCCGCAAGACACTACAACTCAAACCGATCCCTTGCACTGGAGGAGCCATCGACTGTGCAGGCTTTCGGAATGGGCAGAATACTGATGCGAGCTGTCCATCTTTTCAGAGTAACATCTTGGAGTATCTTAGGGTGGTGAAGGTTTTTCCTCGCCAGTTTGTATGCTGTTCGATGTCATCGAAGGGCTTGGCCCAACTTCGCAGCAGCCACGCCTGAACACCAATACATTCTGACAAGAATCAGTAGTAGTAGTAGTAGTAGTAGTAGTAGGTGGTAGTTTGGTAGTATATAGTTTGGTAGTAGGTAACATGGTAGTATATAATATGGTATTAATGCAATGTGGTAGCAAGTGGCATTGTAGTAGGTAATTCCCCCCCGAGACGAAAGGCAATTCTCAAGTAGGCTGAAGTGTGTCTAACATCTATGTTGAGGGCAGCCGAACCTCTGATTCAAATGGCAAGCTGTCTTGCTTCAAAAGCCCTGCATCTGTTTCAGGTTAGTCCAGCGCTGGAGCCTCAGAGCAGCCTGCTCCGAGCACTGCAACTGTTTCCTGCGGTGCAAGCATGTCGATACCGTGGAGGTGCAATTAGTAGGGTTTTCCTGGAAGCTATGCCTGTTTATGAGATTGCTACTTGCTCAGGAGGATTTTGCCTCGATGTCTTCTTATGCCGAAGGCTGGGTCACCTTGCAAATGCAACGGTTTAGCTGCCCAACTTTGCATCCCACAACATCGTCGTCCAAGTCTGTTCAGCTTGCGCCTATGCCTGTCCATCCCCAGGACATGCTCGGTGACTGCTAGATGTGAGCAAACCCACGGAGGGCTCGAAAACGGCCTGTGAGCATGGGCTAAAGCATTTCGGTGAAGCTGAGATTCTGAGATGTGTGCTGGAAAATGACTGGCGGAGCCGTCCTCATTACACTGCTTGAATGTAATCCGTGCTCTTGATTAATAAGGGCGCCCCGGGCCCCCGCCCCCTACATCATTAGAAAAGCCTCCTTATTTCAGGGGCCCCAGATGCCAGAAGGAGATTTCAATTGTAAATGACGTCCACGGAAGCCCGAATCGGGTCCAAGCAAAATCAATCTAAATTCTATTAAAATCCACTTTAATGTTATTGAAATCGGACCCTTATTTTCTTAGGGTTTGGTGATTTTTTTCTTTAAATCCAGGGGGTTTTCGGCCCAAAACCTGCCTCCGCCTTTACAGTAGTCTTTGACCCCCTATTTTGGCCCGAAGAATTTTCTTTAAATCTAAGTGGTTTTATTAATCAAGAGCGCGGATTAGTGTGAGTGAGCGCGCGGCAGTAGCTGACACCGGACGTGCTGGGCTTTACTCCTTGCTCGAGCTGCAAGCTGGAGAACAGTCGGCACGCATGAGGCAGACATACATGCTATGTTTTCAGAGTTTGTTGAAAAGCCGGACTCGCCATCTTCATTGTTTGTATTGCTTATTCCGCTTCTTGCGGCGGTGTCTTGCATAGACTGTGACTTTCATGTTCGTAAACTTGGTGGCATAGCTGGCCGCTACGGAATTTTAGTTTCTAGCCAGGGGAATCAGGGGGAGGTGAGTAGTTTTCCAACTGCAGCAGCTGACCTGATTCCATGACAACAGTCACGCTAAGGGAAAGGATGCCAGAGATGTGCATCGCAGCCTGCAGTCCAGTTTCTTTCACGTAACTGACCCTCGCGCTGCATTTGCGTCCCTGCGCTCGACTCCGGCGCTCTCTGCCTGCTTCTGCGCGCACTCCTTGACTGTGGTGGCTGCAGGCTTGGCCCGACATGGGCTTGTTCTTTTTGCTCTTGGAAGTTTCGTTCCGTAGAATGTCAGGACGGTCCTTTGCCGTGCAGCCCATGCATCCGATGCACCCGCGGCCTGGATGCAATTTTCCGTGCGTAAAACCATGTGTGATCCGTGAGCTCCAGCTGCATCCTGACCAGGACTCTTCTCACCTCCCGGCCGCCTACGGCGGCCTTGGAGGCAGCGGAGGAGGGCAAGGCGCCCCTGGTCTCCGAGTCGGACTCGGAGAATTCCGAGGTCTCAGAAGCCCAGCCTGGGCCCCGGCGGCCCCTGACAGCAGCAAAGATGAAGGGTCGAGAGGAGTCCTGTGCTCCCAACTTGCAAAATTATGGGAAGGCGCGACTACGTGCTGCTGGGCTTCGACTTCAAGCCCTGGTTGCCACAGGCCAGTGTTCGTTCTCTTGGGATGTCAAGCCTGTTCGCACATCCTATTCGTATGTTTCTGGCTGACTTCGCTGAACCAGGTCTTCATGACCAGCACGGTCAGGGCTTCAGACATTTTCAGATCCTTCTTATCCTTCTTCCCAAGCGGTGGATTTGAAGCCCATGCTTAGGTGCTGGGGTCTGCTTGCCTTTTTGGCTTCCAGCCCCGGCCTCAACTGATCAAATCCATCCAATACCTCTCAGGAAGTCTGTGCTTTCTAAGGCTGCCCCTTTTGTGCACCGTGCTGCAGCTCCCGAAGGCGCTGGGCTCGGGGGTCTCTGCCCGGCATGGAGCATGGCACGGCATGCAGTACCCTGTGCTCGGCTACTGGTAGGTGCCCATCTTCGCGAGCTGCGGGGTGCTGGCTGCTGCCACGTTTGCCTCGATGGGGTGCCCCGACCCGCAGTGGTGTTGGTGTTGGGCTAGGCATGTGGTGTGGGCTAAACTCCGCAAAAGCTCCTGCAGCCTGTGATGCGCATGTTATGATAATTCTACACCTGGTGGCACGGTGTATCAGGGCATCTGAATCTGAGGCTCTAGGCTACTTGCAGAGGGCATATAAGGCATCTTACTTGGCTAATGGAAAACAACATTCCCTCTAGGCCTAAGCTGCCTCACATATCCTTGCAAGTTTGTTAGGGCTCCCAGAAGTCCTCAGAATTGATCCCGAAGATTCTCAGCCCAGGATTTGTGCTCATGAGCAGGTGGTTCGACATTTTGTTGGCTTCCCCTGCCTTGAGACATCTCCAAACTAACCTTTCTGCGTTTGGAAGCTGCCCAAGGCAGCAGGAATTGTATTGGATGCGTTGAAGCGCGGCTCCGTAGAGATTCTTGGCAGGGGACGGAAAAGACCACGGTTTAGAAAGCCACGCCTGATAGGTATTCGGCAGCAGCAGACCCAGGGCAAATCGAGGCCCGCGTCATGCCGTCTGCTTGAGAGCTTGCCGAGCACGCCTTTGTGAAGGACGGGGGTAAAGGACCAGCGCGGTCCCATAAGCATGGGGCCCAATGCCGTTTTCATCCGTTTTCACTGTGCTGGCCTGAGGCTCGTGCGATGCAAAGCGCCACTGTGGCTGAGGTCATGGCAATACCCCCGTCCAATCCGCAGGCACGATCACTACTGACGCTTGGATTGCAGTAAGAGTAGGGTCCGTGTGTGTGCGTGCAGCGGAGTAGGTGAAAGGTATCACAATGTTCATCCCGCAAGTGCTTTTTCTTCCCACAATCCTGCGCTCCACTCCCACTCCTCTCTACCTCCCACTCATGTCTCCTGCTTTCATCTCTCCCTGAGGCAAGTGGATCAACAACGTGATCGGCAGGGTTGCCCAGGGTGATTCCAAGATCCCGTCAGCTTGTCACTGTTGCGTTCCAGCCGACGAGGCCTGAGGAATCATCGCCCCTTCATCCTGATGCTGGCGGGCCGGGCACTGAGCCAAAAAGAAGGTCCCAAGTGAGGGTTCAACTCCAAGCTCATCCCAACTCCAAACTATCCAAGGCTTGACTCTAACCGGCATGCAGTGGCCTCGGAAATTCAGAGCCCTCCCCCGAAGTCCTGAGATTGCAGCATTGGATAGAATTTGCCGGAGAGTGCTGCTAAATCGGTTTCCTGAAAAGCTGGGCAGAAGAGGTCCACAGCAGTGCAAGAGAAGTACAGAACTCTTGCAAGCGGATTCCCAGGTTTGGTCTGCTTGCCGACGGCTATTTGACGGTCGTGTTCTGGCGAGAGGCTCTCGCGTTTCGATGATTTCGATTTTCCATCCGTTATTCTCTGCTGTCCACGGAATGTGTCTGGACAAGGACCACGTTGCGACAGAGGTGGGCCTGCTGCGGTTGCCTCAGACGATTGTGAAGCTTTCCACTGCGAAGCTGTAGAGGTTTGTAAAGCGCCGCGTTTATGTGATGGGTCACATGCACGTGCTTGCAGTTGTTGCCTGCATGCCAAGATTGCATGCGATGTACTCCGCCATCCTGTTGTACATCGTTGTGCCTGGAGCCCAGGGATTTGCAAAAACTGTGGAGGAAGGCTTCAATTCAATGCTTGGCAGAAGTATGGCCTGCATCACAGGCCGATCGTCGAAATCCATGCGGGGCTGATTTCAAGGACTCGCTCTTGTGTGGCTGCTCTCAGGTTCGGCTCGGGGATTATCTCCTCAGCTCCCGACAGTATAGCTACAGTCTAAACTGCCTACAAGGGTTAATTAAGGGGGCTAGGAGTTAAGAACTACAGCTCACATGGACCAGGAACGAGCTGGCGCAGGAATGGCAGCGCCGGCTCTACTGGGTGGTAGCGGCCTTTGAGGGGTGCTCGCCTTTTCTGATGGGTTGTATAGCGTGTGTCTTTTCTGAGGCGAATTGTAGCCTGGGCCTTGCAATTCCAGCCTCCGCCATAGACGACGTGGAATTGCGCCCCCGCTTCGATGCCTGCGCTTGCTGAGGCATGTGCGTGCCTTTCATAACAAAACAGCCAGGTACAACGAGCTATTCGATTCGGGGGCCTTCTTCTACGACCCAGCCAGGTCGGCGACGGATCTTCAGGGCAATGGCGTTTTCCCTCTAGATTATCCACCATCCTCCGTACGATAGACGAATGCTTCAGCGCACGAAACCTATCTACACACAGTTGTAGCCTTAGAGGCGGCATGCACGTCTTCTCTTTGTGTTTTTCATTGATTGGGGAGATGCAACATGGGACTTTCATTGCACATGTCACGTAACGCGGTCGGGGGAGTAAGGTGGGACTCAGGGTTGGGATGCATTCGGATGGATGGTTGGGTTCCGGGTTTCAAGACCTGACTTTGAGTGTTGTGAGTAGCACAGGATGCAGGGATGTGGAGAGTATCGGCTGTCGGGGGAGAGTTGTTTTCTCCATGCATCTTCATATCGACATGCACGCATGCACGTGCAGCCTAGTGTGACTAAATGAGCCCCGCAGAACTGTGATTTCGGCCCCGCACACATATGTGGTACGTGTATACATACAGACCAACATGCAAGCAGAGAAAGCACTGCTTTACAGGCTGCTGTCGTTTGCAATTGCTGCCAGCCTCCAGAGACAAAGATAGATTGCAATACATAAATTTGATGCTACGAAGAGTGCAGTTGCGTAGGCAGATGTGCAGAAGAGTAGCGGACCCTCTGACAGGAACCCGTATGACAATGGACTGGCTTCGAACTGTGCCAGCTTCTGGTGCACTCCACGATGGTCAGCCCGGATTCCCAGGTAGAAATGCATCCACGTGACATCATTTGCCTGCAAAACTCAGCATCTCTCCGCCTTCTGGCGCACTCCTGTGATGCATTTCGACTTGAGGACACGCCCGGAGATTTCTGATTGCTGCAGCCATCGATGCTGAGGGCTAGCTGCTAGCTGTGGCCTGGGAAACATGGGCCAAAGCGTTTCACCCCCAAATGCGGCGATTGCAGAGCAAATTGCGGCAAGACGCTGACTGATACGTGCCAGGCAAAAGGTTTGCGGAGCAACTCCCATCGCCCATCGCCTATCATCGCGCCGCTTGAATGCAAGGTTTTGAGGCATGCCAAAACTTTCGAGAGTGCGTGGCAGCTTCCTAGCTCGAGCTGCAAGCTAGAAAGCCTCAGCGGCAGTGCACACGCGATACATGCTCCACAAAGAGGTACATGCCATAAGCTTCAACAATTCCACACTTCCAACCGTTTTTGAAGAGCTGAGATCGCAAGCACCCGTGCTTACAGTACTTTGTGTTATTGCTGAGGTAGTGCGTCATCACATGAAGGCAGCTATTTGTTGTCGAATCCGTCTGGCAATTCAAAGTGTGCCGCATGAGAGCTGCGCTCGTTGCGGGAATCCTAGGGCGCAAAGATCTGCTGGGGCCTGACCTCCAACGTATGTGCACGGGCTGTGAGCGCAAGTTTGGTTGATGCAAAGCGATCATGCGCCTGCACCATCGTGAGCATCTGCTGGCCACCTGCCTCAGACCACAGAGCCCTATGAACTCCCCCCCAAAAAACAAGTGACATGATCCCTCAGACCTACTGGCAGGCGAAATGCAGTCTGTAGCATCAGCCCCTAAACCCCAAACACCGCCAATACCCAACGCACGAAGTCTTAGAATTTGAGCTCTCTAGCCAGGAAGCCAAAGCTTTCCCATTCTCTAAAGGACCGGACAGCGTCATGAGCATTATGGGGTCTCCCTTCTGACACATGCCATCGCGCGAAAGTGTTCCGCTTCGTATCTAGACCTTGTTCCACTTTGATATCCTTCCTGAAGCTGCCCTTCACTGAGGTGGAGACGAAGTCGGCAGCTGCATAGCTCCGCTCCTTGCCGGCGCCGCTTCCGAAAGCTAGTGACTCTTGAAACTATACATGAGATCCGACAAAGAGGAGAGCACCAAAGGGGGAGCCAATGACTTCCAGATGTCTCAGTTGCCTTTCCTGGGCTCTTTCGACGACATGTGTTTGGCGGTTTCGGGTGAATCTCGAACTTTTCGTGAGAATGTCGCGGGCAGGCCAGGTGCATGTTTTGTGCTAAGTGGCTGGCTCTTTATGTTAAAGCGCAAGATCCTTGTAGCAAAGGGTGAAGTATTCCGGTTGTAAGGCCTTAATGTATATGGAATCAGTGTCTTCTGAAGCTTTTTAGAGAGTGAACCTTAACATCTTCGAGTAGCCTTGAGTCATGGGATCCTGAAGTGAACACAAGGACATCTGCGCAGATTTGGTTGGGCATGAGATAATACTAACTCGCTGGAAGCATTGAAAGAATGCCGCTTGCCTGAGCTACGTGATGCTACGTGTATACGCTCCTGAAAGCGTGGACTCCAGAATCACCTGCAGTTGCGTGAGAGCCCCGAAATAATCTGGGGACCACTTTGGGTTCGGTGGTCCAGCATCCTCCAAAATGACCATTCCATTTCCTCTTGAGCCAATGTAGGACCAATCCTTGCAGTCCGGGAGACTCCAGGGAGTTCTGATAAGCTCCGGCTTCGCGGCAGAAATTCTTTGACAGCGCTTGGATCACAGGAACGCTTGTGCGCCATACACGTCCCCAGATCCCGCACCCTATCTCGTAGCCGCGTAGCCCAACAAACTCCACATCTTGATCAGAGAATCTCCACCTCCTACCGAATTGCCTTAATGGGACGAACTCCAGCGGAATGATGGACTAAGCCCAGGTACTTCAACATGTCAAAGCCAGGCTTCCAAGCTTCTGAGGAGAATTCAGCAACCCTAAACCTCACAAATCCTAAACATTTCATCCCCTGACTAGTAGCTCCCCTGAATAGTATTTCCATTTTGCTTTCCATTATCCCAACATAACCCCACTATAACCCCAATATAGCCCCAATGAAGTCCCAACATGTCATTTTGAACCCCAAAGCCCTGAACTTAACAACTCCGAGCTCCTGGGCTTTGGCCCTTTGTCAACCCCGAAAGCCCGAAAGCGCCCAGCTGGTACGTGTTTAACTAGGCAGTTGCTCAAGAGCCCCTGCAAAGCCACCAAGCGGCGTCCTATCCCTACTCATCCCCATAGACGTCCCAACCTTACGTTCGAAACCCCTTAAGTTCACAACTACTTCATCCGAAACCTCCGAACTCCAAAGCCTAAATCTGGTGAACACCCAAAAGCCTTGAATCCTGAGCCATCACGAGCCATGGGGCCACCACCCAGGGAGCCTTTTCTGTGATTTACAGCCCCGGCGAAGTAGGGATTTGATTGCCTACAATTTTGGGTCAAGGGTTCAGAGTTCAAGCGTCTATAGAGCTGAAGGTTAGGACTGATCGATTCCCACCTCAGTGGGGTCAAGGCTTTAGAGTCTAGGGTTCATGGAGTGCCGGTGTACCTTAGTCCCCATCAGGTGGCTGTTTGGAGGTATCTTGAGTGAACCAGTATCTTCAGAACCGCCCAAGTTAAGATATCCGAATACAGGGTCTATTGAGAGGACACGAGTTAGAGTCCCCCAAGTTTGGGCTGTACTGACTTGAGAACGACAGGCGCATAATATAGGCAACGCCTGGAATTTCTAAGCCATCTTGTTCAGTTGTGACCTTTGTTCGAGCTTGTAATGCACAATTCGTATTGGTTTCGCCTGGAAATTTCTTCACTTGTGACCAAATTTTAGTACGAATGACCGTAGGCTTTAGAATTCCTGATTTTCTTAATAAATCTTCATCTGCTGGAACATTTAGCCTTCAGAAGATTACCTAGCACAATGGGTTCTTGAATCCCTAAAAGGCCTATGAAACTACCAGCAGGCTGTTGCCAAGAGGTTCAGCGAGTGTTACGATTGCCAGACATTGACAGGCCGGAATCATCTATAATCAGGATTTGTGTTCGCTTCTTCCTTCGCTCCTTCTCTTTGTTGAATTGCGTCGGGTGAGAATGAGAAGAGCATAGTACAGGCGCTGCATGGCAAAGGGTTTGGCAAAGATGTCGATGCTTGGCGGTCTTAAGGACTGTGCAGTGTGGGTTGATGAAGGGCTGCAGTCGAGCAGTCCTTGAGAGGAATAGGGTATTGTGGCTCTGAATTGAGACAGGCTCCCAATGTCAAGATCACTAGTTTGGCCATTATGAAAAAACTCCTGCTATTTTGTCGTACACTCTCCCCCAGACAGATACACAACCTTGGAAGATTTTGATTTTGGGTTTCCATTCTAGTTTGGGCAAGACTCATCCTGCATTTGAACAGCTCTGAAACAATCATCTCGCGCTGATTGCACTTAACCCTACTCATACGCAGAAGGTGAGTCCAAAATCCCATGTTGCAAGTCAGTCAGGACTTTGAGGCGCTTATTCCGGCCCCTGACATAGGTTTCTGGCAGGACCTGAGATGCTGCCGTCAGCTTGCAGTGTGGTGGCTGCATGTCCCAACGCGTAGCCGTTCCGCTATACAGCAGCTAGCTCCTCCACTCGGTCTTTGCTCCTTTTTTTTTTGCGGCCGGCAAGACTACCTGATGACGGAAGAGTTATCGACAGCCCCAATCCTAAACTCTAGACCCTGTATCCCGAACCCCTTGCAGGAGCTCAGCCGCCGGAAGCTGGACGTCTGGCGCCGCTTTGGCACAAGTTTATGGTTTCAGTTCCAGGCGCAGGGCTTAGGCTTTGTGGTTTACAGGTTGGGCATATGGTTTCTGGCCCACGGTTTAGGGATTCACGGTTAGGTTTCAGGGTGTAGAGAATTGGAGTGCTTGGTGGAGCCGAAGTGGTGCAAGATTTCCTCCACGGAATGGGTTTAGGGCTAGGATTTGGGGGTTTCGTGTTCTGGGTGCAGGGGTTTGGGGTTCAGGGTTCCGGGTTGAACGTCTAGGGGTATATCAAGTGTCCCATTTGCGGGGGGATGAGACATATTCGTACAGGGAACCGGAGAACATGGAGATAAAATAGGGGCTGCACGATCTTTGTTTTCTCTGTGCTCGAGGAGCACGACAATAAGGGGGGGCGGAAGAGGTGAATATGTGTGGGTAAGGATTTTCAGTTTGAGGAGCATCTAGCGGAGTCTCATGCGGAAGTAGGCACTTGACAATTGCAGACTTGAAGCAAGGAGCCCGCAGGGCAGGCACTGGATATGCAGCTGTCCAAATTAAGGCTTCGCATGCGGGGCCAGCACTTCTAGGTCAGCGGTGTTGGCTTGGAGCACGGCAGCCGGTTCGTTGGGATGCAGGCAAAGGGGTAGCTTACGGCACGGCGGTCCTGTTTGTTGGAAGCACAGCATGCTGCCAAAGCAATTCCAATCATTTAGGCGCTCGACAGTAGCACAAGTCAGTCATGCCGTCATGTCAAAAACCTGATGCCCTGGCCAAAAGTAAGGCCTTGATGCTTCCAACGTGCCGCTGATAGCTTACTTCGAAGCTTCCCAGGCAAGTTCATCATGGGCCTCCCCAAATTTTGGGATCAGCCCCCCTCGACAGACTGCAAGTTCGGATGTACCCTTTTATTTGCGGTCTAAGAGGTGCTGGGTTTAGATGCTCGAGCTCAAGGGTCGCGGGCAGGAAGCACGTTAGAGACGTGGGGTTTCCAGAGTCAGAGCCCTTGGACCTTCCTATGAAGTCTGTGAAAGGTTCGAGATGCAGCCACATCTGCTTCATGTGGTTTGGATTTCTTAAGGGTACCCGGCAAGGATGGTATTTTTTTTTCGCACGCCCTTTTCACTGACATTGTATTGGCGTGTTGGCAGGCAGCAGGTGTGCCGGCAAAGTGCTACCTGCTCAAGGATGCCTTTGAGGACTTAAAAATTGGGCATTCATCGTTCTTCCAGGTCATTTTATTGTGCTCTTTTGGGTGGGTAGGGGCTTCCTACTTTTTGCTGTATTCATGTTGCGGTGACCAAGGGCCCTGTATTCAGACCTAGCCGGACCTA